TACATGTATGATTCATATATTCTAGTTCATCTCGTGTGACGACTGGCATTTGAGGAATTATTGTCTTCTAGTCAATGTGTGTTGTTAGCTTCCACTCAGCTGTCCATTCATAATGCAACCCATTGGACGTTGGAAAACCATATTTACAAAATCCATAGAGTGACAGAATGATGCTATGAGTAGTTGAAGTACTAAAACCGTGGCCATTATATTGTCTTGTCCAAAGAATCCACTCCGCTGGTAAAATTATGATTAGCCTGATGGTTCATATTGGAATTCCCCCATCAAGATTTTCTTCATCGATTCAACCATTAGAAGTGTTTTTGAACTCCAAACTTTTGACAGATCGCCCATTGCCAGTTTCCTCTCACAAGGTGACATTGAAATATTTTGACTATTATTGACGCCTCCTCACAAACAACATCACGTATCGATTAATTTTGATAAACTCAGCCCCAAAACTCGGCCTCAAAAACTCGGCCCCAAAAATCGGCCCCAAAACTCGGCCCCAAAATTCGGCCCCAAAAACTCCGCCCCAAAACTCGGTCCCAAAACTCAGCCCAAATACTCGGCCCCCAAAAACTCGGCCCCCAAAAACTCGGCCCCAAAAACTTGGCCCCAAATACTCGGCCCCCAAAAACCCGGCCCCAAAAACTCGGCCCCAAATACTCGGCCCCAAAGGACGACTCTGAAACTGTTCTCCCGGTAACTCATTTTCATCTCGTCCACAAAATCTTGGCTCCAAACCGTCGTCTCCAAGAGTGTGACCTCAACCCCCACCCCTCGAAGAAAAAACTCAGCCCCAAATATCGATGTCGACTGGTCCATAAGTTCAGAGCAACGTCAACAACTGAATGAGTTGTATCGCAACAAATGAACATGAATTTGAAATTTACACACAGCCAACGTAATGGTCTGCTGCTTATTCACCAAGGGCACTCCTTGTCTATACATCGCGAAAATGAAGGCAAAATCATATGGAGGTGCCGCAACATATTTTGCTCCGCAAGGGTGCATACTGATTGTAAGCTTCCCTCAGGGAAAATTCTCAAAGAGACACATCATAACTACAAACATAACAGCCAAGGGATGAGAGCGCGAAATGTTCAAAATAAAACTCAGAAAATGGAAGAAAGTAATCATAATGATTTTCCACATAGTTGGAAATTTGTCAATTAATTACTCCCATCTAATTTTACATACACCCACCAAAAAGACATTCCTTCGGTAGGAATCCCGATCAGGCTATGCAACATATGAAACCATTTGGGTTCAGTAACCAACATATCACTATACCTCGGGTCACGGACGAATCACCTGAACAGTGGCAAATTTCACATCAGATTGCCATCGCAAGAGAATCGATCAAACAGAAACACGAAATGTTGAAACTGTTACTGAACCCAAATGGTTTCATATGTTGCATAGCCTGATCGGGATTCCTACCGAAGGAATGTCTTTCTGGTGCGTGTATGTACGAATTAGATGGGAGTAATTCATTGACAAATTTCCAACTACGTGGAAAATCATTATGATTACTTTCTTCCATTTTCTGAGTTTTATTTTGAATATTTCGCGCCATGCTACATGGAGTTGTAGTGGTGGTTCCCGTCACGTGGGACGGGAATTGACGGGAATTGATGGGATGTAATTAGTAAGTTTGAGGATATGCTACATGGAGTTGAAGTGGTGGTTCCCGTCACGTGGAACGGGAATTGACGGGAATTGATGGGATGTGATTAGTAAGTTTGATGATATGCTATATGGAGTTGTAGTGGTGGTTCCCGTCGCGTCGGACGGGAATTGACGGGAATTGATGGGATGTGATTAATAAGTTTTTTTTTTCTCATCCCTTGGCTGTTATGTTTGTCGTTATGATGTGTCTCTTTGAGAATTTTCTCTGAGGGAAGCTTACAATCAGTATGCACCCTTGCGGAGCAAAATGTGTTGCGGCACCTCCATATGATTTTGCCTTCTTTTTCGCGATCTATAGACAAGGAGTGCCCTTGGTGAATAAGCAGCAGACCATTACGTTGCTTGTGTGTAAATTTCAAATTCATGTTCATTTGTTGCGATACAACTCATGCAGTTGTTGAAGTTACACTGAACTTATGGACCAGTCGACATCGATATTTGGGGCTGAGTTTTTTCTTCGAGGGGTGGGGGTTGAGGTCAGACTCTTGGAGACGACGGTTTGGAGCCAAGATTTTGTGGACGAGATGAAAATGAGTTACCGGGAGAACAGTTTCAGAGTCGTCCTTTGGGGCCGAGTATTTGGGGCCGAGTTTTTGGGGCCGAGTTTTTGGGGGCCGAGTATTTGGGCCGAGATTTGGGGCCGAGTTTTGGGGCCGAGTTTTTGGGGCCGAGTTTTGGGGCCGAGATTTGGGGCCGAGTTTTGGGGCCGAGTTTTGATTCGCCCAGCGGGGAATCGAACCCGGGTCTCCCAGATACGCGCCGGGTACTCTTACCGACTAAGCTACCGGGAACCACAGAAATTCACTCTCAAATTCACCTCATACACCGCCTAACCTTCTTTAAATACCTCCTATAAATAAGGACCCAAAAAAAAAATTCAAATAGAATTAAAATTTAGAGAGAAAAAATTCCGATTCGCCCAGCCGGGATTCGAACCCGGGTCTCCTAGTTACGCGCCGGGCACTCTTACCGACTAAACTACCGGGAACCACGGAAATTCTCACTCCAAATTCAACTCAGCACGCCGCCTAACCACCTTTAGGCATTAAATAAATTCAAATAGAATTGAAATTTAGAGAGAAAAAATTCCGATTCGCCCAGCCGGGATTCGAACCCGGGTCTCCCAGTTACGCGCCGGGCACTCTTACCGACTAAGCTACCGGGAACCACAGAAATTCACTCTCAAATTCACCTCATACACCGCCTAACCTTCTTTAAATACCTCCTATAAATAAGGACCCAAAAAAAAAATTCAAATAGAATTAAAATTTAGAGAGAAAAAATTCCGATTCGCCCAGCCGGGATTCGAACCCGGGTCTCCTAGTTACGCGCCGGGCACTCTTACCGACTAAGCTACCGGGAACCACAGAAATTCGCTCTCAAATTCACCTCATACACCGCCTAACCTTCTTTAAATACCTCCTATAAATAAGGACCCAAAAAAAAAATTCAAATAGAATTAAAATTTAGAGAGAAAAAATTCCGATTCGCCCAGCCGGGATTCGAACCCGGGTCTCCTAGTTACGCGCCGGGCACTCTTACCGACTAAGCTACCGGGAACCACGGAAATTCTCACTCCAAATTCAACTCCGCACGCCGCCTAACCACCTTTGAGCATTAAATAAATTCAAATAGAATTAAAATTTAGAGAGAAAAAATTCCGATTCGCCCAGCCGCGATTCGAACCCGGGTATCCCAGTTACGCGCCGGGCATTCTTACCGACTAAGCTACCGGGAACCACGGAAATTCTCACTCCAAATTCAACTCCGCACGCCGCCTAACCACCTTTGAGCATTAAATAAATTCAAATAGAATTAAAATTTAGAGAGAAACATTCCGATTCGCCCAGCCGGGATTCGAACCCCGGTCTCCCAGTTACGCGCCGGGCACTCTTACCGACTAAGCTACCGGGAACCACGGAAACTGGTCCTTGGCTGGCAAAATTTTGCAGCCGTGGGGAGTCAAATGGGCTGTCAAGCCCTTTGAGCCTTACAAAGCGCAGGGGCCAGATAGGATTTTTCCGGCCTTGCTACAGGAGGGGACGGAGAACATCATAGGGCCTCTAACCAAAATCCTCAGGGCCAGTACAGCACTGAGGCATGTTCCGAGGTCATGGAACGAGACTAAGATAGTCTTCATTTCAAAGTCGAGCAAGGTTGGGTATATTCAACTAAAGGACTTCCGCCCAATAAGTCTTACATCCTTCATATTGAAGACACTGGAAAGACGGGTGGACCGATTCCTAAAAATGGGGCCCTTGGTACCGCGCCCCCGCTCTCCCTTTCAATATGCGTATCGAGAGGGTAGATCAACGGATGCCGCCCTACACTATCTGGTGGGACACGTGGAGGGACAATTCGCTCCCAAGGGATACGCCATAGCATAAGGCATAGGAGCCTTCTTCGATGTTGAGGGAGCTTTTGACAGCACTTCGACCGAAACCATAGAAGAAGCTATGAAGAAGCATGAGATCCCTAGGACGATCATTGCTCGGACACAGGCCATGTTAAGGGGCGGGAGACTGTCGGCTAATCACGAACAAAGCTATATAGAAGGGCGCCCAGCCAGAGGATGTCCGCAGGGGGGAGTTCTCTCATCTCTGCTGTGGAATCTGGTTGTGAACGTACTTCTGGAAAGGCTGCGTGGAGCGGGGTGCCATGTCATTGGCTTTGCCGATGATGTGGCAATAGCGGTTAGAGGCGATTTTCTGAGGGTGCTCAGAGACCTCATGGCGACGGCACTTGACATCGCTGAGAGCTGGCGCAAAGAAACTGACCTCTCGGTGAATCCCGCCAAAACCACAGTCCGAGTCTTCACAGAAAAATACAAGCCAAAGACGATCGGACCCTTAATACTGAACGGCTCGGTAGTAAACTACACCAACAAAGTCAAGTATCTTGGAGTAATTCTAAACAATAAACTCAGTTGGAAGGATCACATCTATGCACAAAGAAGCAAAGTGTTTGCCTCGATGTGAGCATGCAGAAGGGCCATTGGGAAAAACTGGGGGCTAACCCCCAGAATGATACTGTGGCTCTATCAGATGGTACGGTTACCAAGACTAATGTATGCTGCGGTAGTCTGGTGACCAAGGGCAGGAAAGGTGGAAACAAAGAACCTGTTGCAGGGCTTACAGCGAACTTTCCTGAGGGTCACGATGGAGACCATTAAGACCACACCTACTGAGGCGAAGGAGGCTGAGGAAAAATAGCACTCAGTATCCAGCCTTTGGACCTCAGAGTGATTAGCTGTGTAAGCACAACAGCCTACAGACTACGGTGTCAACAGGAATGGAAAACGACAGGCCAAGTTCATACCCAACTTGGCTTGATTAATCCAAATCCCTTCACTGACAAGTCCGATGGGATCCAGCGAAAATATCAAATTAAAAAAGCCTTCAAAACTAGAATACCATCCAGAGAGGAGTGGCTAGATTCAAAACTTAAACCAGGACCTAAGGAGGATTACTGGTTTACCGATGGATCTGGCTACAATGAATCCTTTGGGGCGGGGATCTATCGATTGAAGGATGGCTTCGGGGAAAGCTTCCCCCTGGGCCAGCATGCAATAGTTTTTCAAGCCGAGGTGTTAGGCATAGCCAAGTTTGCCGAGCACCTGGTAGCAAAAGAGACGGAAGGGATGAAAATCTTCCGCAGCGACAGCCGGGCAGCCATAAGAGCACTGGAGAAAGCCACTACTAATTCTAAAGTGGTGTGGGAGTACATGCAAGCAATTGCCACTTTAGGGGAGAGGAATAAAAATCACCTTAATCTGGGTTCCGGGCCACTACGGAATACAGGGTAACGACGAGGCGGACTGGCAGGCCAGAAGGGGAACGGAAGGCGCTCTTCTGGCGGGTCTGATTGGTGTGCCTTTCGCAGTGGGAAAAAAGATCATAAAAGATCACCTACAGTGGGAATTCGAAAAACGCTGGCGAACTAGCACAACCTGTAGATAAGCTAAACTGTTTATGAGGGAGCAGTGAATTAGAAGGAGTGGAGAACTTCTGGCGCTGAAAAGGAAAAATCTGAGGGTTGCGATAGGACTTCTCACAAGCCACACTACCCTCAGGGCTCACCTGTACAACATGAAATTAGCCGAACAGGCAGACTGTAGGCTATGCGGGGACGGTAGAGAGGACGCCGTACATATTCTGTGCGGGTAAATGTGCATATTAGCACCCTCACCTCCAATCTATGCCAAACTTGGAAGGATGATTCACCACCCTCGACAGTGTATATTCATCACATTTTCACCCGTCGGAAAGGTCTGGGAATTGTCAATTTTATGATGGAATGAGTTACTTACCTCACCGCTCTTTGCGCTACCCGGGGCCTACGGCGTGGACGTGGCGGTGACTGGCCCCATGGACAACACATGTGGACACACTTAAGATAACGGACAACACAAAGAGATGAATATGCTGCATCCCCCCCGTTGCCCCCACTGTAACAAAACTTAAATCCCCCGCTGCCCTCCATCAGCAAAATTAAATTAATAAATTAATATTACAGCGAGGGAACAACAAAAGGACTCTGATGGGGTGTAACTATGGTGGATAATATCTACTTACGGTCTACTAACTGGGCTGCACGTGTTGATATCGTGCTTATACATTCGCAAGCAGAGTGGCTTGGAATGTAAACAACTTCCCGCAGTCAGACCATAGCTCCTATTGTTCTCCCGAAATCAAATGTTTTTATGAGATAAATTTATCTCAGGTATTTTCCGACTCTTAAACTTAACGAATATTCACTCAGGAATGGCCAACCAATACGTCAGTTGTTTGGCAGAGAATTTAAGGGTGAGGTAGCTAATCTGCACATTTACCATGAATCGACGTTTTGTAACGCTGTTTCCGTTCACTTCAATGTCCAATCTCCGCCGAGTTTCTTTCCGAATTTTTTCCTTGCCATGGAACGTTTCTGGGCAGGTAACGTTCCGACTTTCGTTCCTAGTGAGAAATATTCCACGAGTTTCGTTCCGACTTTCGTTCCGAGCGTATCGTTCCACGACTTTCGTTCCGAGTTTGGCTCCTAGCTTGGAACGTTACAGTTTCGTTTCGATTCTTGCCTCTGGAACGACATCGAAACTGGAATGCGTTCCAAGTTCCTGTTTTAAATTATTTACAAATACAGGTAATTATTATTCTTATATAGTCTCTCTAGTATGCGGGCATTCAATAAGCTCCTCCCGCAAAATCGTCCAACTCATCGTAACGAAATTGATACAATTGATACAATTATCCCAGATTCCGCTGAGGTATTGTACGATGGAGGTCATCCCTGGCCAGAAGGTAGATGTCCTCGAAATTGTTCCGCATGCGATAATGGAGTTCTTCAGTGACTAGCATCCTGTGGTATTTCATGTAATTCATGGTAACACTTGAGATCGCCCGGACCAGAGACTCCTTGTATTCTTTGAGATACAATGAGTCCAAAAAGTTTAACCACTAATCGATCCATGTCGCTTTATTTTTCAATGTGGTAACGCTGGGACTCATCATAATGAGGTTTTGTCTTACACCAGCACGTACAAAGGCCACACAGGGGTTATCGTACGTGCGATGGAATCCCACTTTGACAACCTCAAATTACTAGTTTATTAAATGATAGAAAATATGCGAAAAATGAGAAGACTTTGCATTTGGTGAAACGAGCAATTCTGTATAATAGTGATATATTTTTAAACAAAATGTGGAAATCAGGGATACGTTTTTTCGACGGTATCAAAAATAGATTGTATAAAGCAAACGTGGCCGAAAAATTTGATCGGCCTCACCTCTATAGGGAGTGCAGAGAAGAATACTAATTTCCTGCGGGGGAGGAGACACTGATCTACAAGCAGAAATGATCCTTCACCGATCATTATTTACAGTAAGCAACAAATGCAAACAAAGGTGGCTGAAAAAGAAAAACTAGAGCCTTTTCCCGCCTAAGATATTCAGGACGTACAAAAAATTCGAAATATATAAACTGGGAGATCCTTGCAACACACACTTACAACTTCATATTCTTCAGGGTAGTCTCCAGTGACAAGTCTCCAGTGTTTCTCGTACAGTGCTCCCTGTTTTTTCATTTTGATAGAAAGAAAAAAAAGTTTAAAATTGGTCGAATCAGTCATCACTGAAGGGCAGAGAACCTATTGGATAGTAAGTTTTTATTTATATTTTGATTGTCGATTTCTAGAGTCCGATAATTTTTTTATTTATTTCTAGAGTTCGATTCTCATACTTTTATCCGTGAGAAATTTTTTTTTGTTTCAAACTTATCAGCATCAAATTTTGCGTTCATTTTTTTTCAAAATGCGTGGATTCTTTTCGTTTTTTTTTGACGTCTCTTATGGAGTTTACATGTATTTTTCATTCGGTTTTCGTCTCCTTTTTTTGTTTTTGAATTTTTCTATTCTAGTTTTCGTCTAATTTTTCAGTGTCGAAATTTTTTGCGAAAGAAATTTTTCGTGAAAGAAATTTTTCCTCGCGTTCTCTCTCGTTGAAATTTTTCGCTCAATTTCGCTCAATTTTTCCGCATCAAAATTTTTCGGGAAAGAAATTTTTGCTCGCGTTCTGTCCCGTAGAAATTTTTCATGCTGGATTGTTTTCTTAAAAAAAATTATTGCTCTCATTTTCCGTAGATTTTTTTTCAATTAAATTTCAATCGTTTTTTCATTTTCAGATGCATAGACCAGAGAGCCTATCCCTGAGGTCCACCAATTGGACGAGGAGAGGGAGCTAGCTCTAAAGGATCTCCCAATCGAGGATTTATAAGACCTCCACATCNGGGGGGGGGGGGGGGGGGGCAACCACATCCCAACCACAGCACGGATGACTGGGACGTCGAGGAATGGGAATAGGTCATTTTAAAAAACATTAGAGATGAAATAAAAAATGGTTATCTTAGAATTAAGTTTTCTTGAAAAAAAAGTTGCACAGAAAAACGCATTCATTTAATAAAATTTATGGAATTATAACTCGATGTAATGGCAATCATTTGTAACTCCTATTTGTACTAAAATATGTACTAATTTAATCTCTAAAAATATTTTATGTAGTGTTTCGTTTGAAATTTTGCTTTAGTAACTTCTATTTACTTTTCTTATTTTAATTTATTTAAACATATATGATAAGTAATGAATAATATTTATCAATTCTGTCTTTCGATTCTTCTTTTTCTGTTTTGATTTGTGGAATATGTTAAATATACATGTCAAACAATTGAATTTGTATTATCTCTTCTCATTTGTTCTGAACTTTCAGTCATTCGAAACTACAATCGTTTCATCATTTCTACGTGCATGACTTCGTTGCTGCCTCTCATTAACTTCTTTCCGTTTGAAAATCATTTTGTTTGTTTTCAATGCGTGTTCCTTTTCTCAATGTCGTCGCTGCCATTCAGCAGCCATTTCTGCAAATTTCATCTTTTGAATATTGCTTGATCGATCCAATTAGAATTTTGACTCGTCATCATCGATTCTTCTTCATTTCCTACATTATACAGGGTGTCCCATTGGAAAAAAATGCGGCCAAATATCTCCTAAGGCGGGCAAGTAACAAAAAAAAATGTTCAGTACAAAAATTGTAGCTTTTCGAGGGGGACATTCGATGAATTCATTATTCTGAGCTTTCAAGCTCATGCTTGCCAGCTGCAAGCATAAAGTCCTTTTTTTAAAATGGCAACCGCATTTTTTACTTCAATGAAACTTGTTCATCTTGATGAGTTGTTTTCAGATACCTCGTCATTCATGTGATTTCTTCTAATTTTACTGAAAAAATGCCACAAAAACGAGTTATGTGGTCAGATTGAAGATTCAAACATCCTTGGCGCACCTTGGTATAATTACTCCGTTGATCTGTTTACCAAGAGGAATTATCAAATGTAAACAATAAACAAAAAATTTTCCTACTACTTCGAGGATTCTTTTATTCTAATCAGCACTCCACCTCATTTCACTCGAGTTGTAAGAGATTACCTGAACAGTTCCTTCCCGAATCGTTGGATTGGTTGGGGTGGTTACATTGTGGCCTCCAAGATTACCGGATCTTACGCCCCTAGACTTCTACCTGTGGGGCTTCATCAAAGATACTGTTTACAATGTAAACTTTACACAAACCGCCCGACCACTCCAATGGATTTACAGAGACTTATCAGGGAGGCTATTATTTTATTGAACGCATTACTCCACAAGTTGTTCGAAGCGTTGTTGAGAATTCCCGCCATCGAATTGAGTTGTGCCTGCAAGTTAACGGTGGAAACATTGATCATTTCGGGTAAACGCTCATGAACTTCCCCACATGTTCGTCCTATATTTTTTTTTAGCGCAAGAGATGCGAAATAGACTTAACATCCACGCACTGCATCCTAGATCATACTAAAAAAGTCTGAAACTTCAATTTGACCACAGAACTCGTTTTTGTGGCATTTTTCAAGTAAAATTAGAAGAGATTACACGAAGGGCGATGTATCTGAAAAGAACTCCTCATGATGAACAAGTTTCATGCGGGTGAAAAATGCGGTTGCCATTTTAAAAACAGAACTTTGTGCTTGCAGCTTGCAACCACGAGCTTGAAAGCTCAAAATAATAAATACATTGAATGACACCCTCGAAACCCTATAATTTTTATATTCAATATTTTTTTGTTACTTGCCCGCCTTAGGAGATATTTGGCCGCATTTTTTCAAATGGAACACCCTGTATTTTCGAGTACGACATTGTTTCTGTCTTTCCTTTAATTTCTCACGCTTCAGATTCATTTTCTGGATTTTCAACATCCGTTTCTTTTCCCTACACTGCCGTTGTCGCTGAGC